TGAGATCGATCCTCCGCGTCAAGATCATAGATGGACGTTGCCGAACAGTCTCACACTAGGACTAAAAACATAGCTGTCCAATGCTTCCAGGTTTTCAGTGGCTGTTTTGTGGAAACCTTATTTTATAAAATAAAATCATTCTTACTAATGTATTTGGATTTATGCCAACCAAGATAATACGTGTATAATTTATTAGACATCATGGACTTGATGTTTATTGCTTATAATGCAAAAATTAACAATGAATTATTCATTAAGTAAACATAAAAAACCACTTAATGAAATTTTAGCAATTAATGTACATAAAACATGAAAAGTTAGTCTAAACAAGGTTATATAGTATAGGATAAAGGTAATAATCATAGTTGAGTTCTTAATTTCCGGTTATTAATTAGGCAATCCCATTTAGTGTGTGTATCATGAACGCATTACCTGTATAGTGTCAACTAGTCACGTTTAGAGCCGAAGGTAACGGGTTCGATCCTTAACATGAATCCAAACACTGTGATACCAGTATTTCCAGCTGACAGTTTAAAATAGGAAGAGTACATCCTGGGACTAACCATCAACCATCATGCAACTTCAATGAATGCAACGGTTGTGTATACTAATCGATCATTAATTTGTAAATAATTTCATCTAATCTAGACCTGAAGGCTACGAAAACTGCAATATGTTTACAATTTTGAATGTTAGTAATGAGAGAAAACTTATTTGGTACAGTCAGATACAATTATATAAAGCATAAAATCTAGGTTTTGTGCTTGTGGGTACTCATTAGTGAAGCGCAGGTCTGTTTATGAGATATCTAATATTTCATCAAATACTTAAACTCTTACTGAACGATGTCACTATTTAGAACGTTGGCTCTCAGCTCTTGGATTCACAATCAACAACATACGGGGTTGGGAACGATGATATTCACGTTTATTAAACAGTTCAGATGCCATGAAATCTCTTTGACACTGCAAGTAACTTGGTGATAATATATTGGGTGATGTGAATTCATATTAAATTAAAATTTGCCTGGAGGATTTGGATGTATCTTATCAAGAAGTGGTAATAAACTTGAGATGCAATTCAAAAACCTTCCTATCGATTGCTTACGTTCATTTAAATGAAAAATTATTTGATCTTTGAACTCTGAAATTCGATCTTGAACATCTCATCAGACAAGGTAAATTTATGGATACTGGCGTCATAATAAATAAAATTCCTCACGGTGATTTTCATATCAAACTTGGTTCGAATCACTATACCTTCAGACAGATACATACCACACCGTTCAGTGGTTGTACCTTTTTATTTATTCAAGTGATATACGAATCAGGATTGCGACAACACCAAAGTCAAAGCAGATCGTATGGGTACATGGTATATCTGACCAAGGTATTGTGAATTTATAAATTACTTGTCTAACCAAAATTACCGATTATATGCTCTTATCTGAATCAGATCGGACACCAGTACGATTAAATAGTTGAGGTTATCTGTGTAACCTGGATATTAATCTTTGATTCAGCAAATCGAAAAACTGTTTCGTAACAACAGTTATACAGTTTATTAAACTGAATTACGCACTTCCTGAATCTATCCGATTAATTTTTCAGACAATACTTAGTAATATAGACACTTATTCACACGATCTGAATTGCGTGATTACATTTAGATTTAGAATTTTCCGATATGTGAAGCTTCTTATGTGATCAGATGGCATTTGGACAAAGTAATTTCCAACATATGGTTCATAGAGTGCCCTAGGAGTTATCCGAAAATTGTTAGCATTAGTTGAAATGTGAAAAACGATTAATTAAAGGAATAAAAGTTAAGTAGAAAAAAGGATAGATGACGGATGAGATAAACTGACTAGTCACAAGGTTGAGGTAATTTCTTTATCAGATAACTTGGGCAGAAGCTGTTAATTACGTATTGATCTCCCATTAAATAATCCTATCGCCACCTAGCAGATGATATAGTCCTGGTTGGTGGAGTGATTGGCGAAATTGAAGGATCTGGAGATTTTAATTGACGATCTCACCAGTTCATATTAGCGTGGCTACAAGGATTGAGTAATTAATTTGTGTCGCAGTCAGTTACCGTCCTATTTAGACCTGGATAAGCCTTGGTAATTAACTGTTCTTAATAGGCTTTACTCTAATATACAGTAATATCTGTATGCATATACAAAATCATTGAACCAATCAATATTTATTTATTGACTTTAACACATCGATATTGGTACAAGGAGGCACCAATTATTTATGCACCACACAAATCTCATTTGATATGTGTGAAGCCTGTGATACTCCCTGGATGCCCAAACCGAAGCAGGTGGTTATCTTAGAGGGCCACACCCGGAGCTTTCGACCTGAAGGTTTGATCCACGAGGCAGTGGAGCAATGTAAGGAGATGCAGTCCCATGGCAGCAGGTGACCAACGATTGGTTCATATGCCATTTGTTCCCGCAGGATACTGGAGCCCATGTGCACCAGGGTTTTCCAACTCCCCTAGGTGGACTCTCTACGTCCACCAACACGACTAAAGCGAGGGGCAGTGAGTAGGACTTCCCTGGCAGACGCTATATACGTGTGGCCATGTGAGAGCATTTCGAGAGGGAGAGCGGACTCTCCCCACTCTCGGTCATACCAGTGTATTTGGGGGCTTGATGTTTACTTTAGCATTCGAACCCAGTACCAGTCAAGGCAGTTTATGAGTCAGAGATAACAGTGGAATAGATCACATAAATAAGTGAAAAGTACAAATTGGTAGTGTGATGATAAGTGTACTAGTTGTGATAAGAATAACAAAGGCTTGAATCGACATTTCATAACAAAATGAAAAAATATAGATACTGAAATAACATTCACTAAAAATTGTAAGATTATGTAACAAGAAGTGGTCAGATAATTGAACAATGAGGCGTATATTTAAAAAAGGGAGGGTGAAGAAAAATAAACGAAGATTATGGAAAATAATAACAAACAGAATCTTTTATCAAGGTGAACTCGGCCAATGGAGAGATAAAGATGTTACAAATTTCTTATTGATACAAAGACTTGGGTTAATGGCTCGAACCCCTATAGCTTCTGATAAAAGTAAAGGAAGAGATCGGACTAAATCAGGAAAACTAATAGGAATACGATCAATCACTTCAAATGACCTATTTCTATCTAGTACATGACCGCTACCGATCAAGTGTGATAAAACAAAGCTGCGTATTGTTTTGACGATACCCTTTCCTAACTACGAAGGTAAGTGTTTATTAACTCGTTGGCTTAGTTATCTGATTATGAGTTCGATATAACTTTCCCCACAGGAACAGCTGAATTCGTAAATAAACTTGGATATCAAAACCAGGTAAATTATCATTTAGTTGAAGAATCACCAACGGTCGGCTGGATAGACACAGAGGCTAGTTGCATTAATTCAGCTATATTTGAGTAAAGCATGATGAGGATCTAATTGAAAACAGTATTGTTTACTTATGTACGTTGCTCTAATTCACAACATAGGAATTCTTAAAATCAACTGTCTATATTCTTATTACTCCAGACAAAATGGAATTTACTTATAATTGTTAAGGAAAATTTTTGGATGTTTTAAGTGTTTAACATGATTTAACCAACATACGGAGTATGGTAGTTTTTCCAGCTGAAAGTTCAGTAAAAGACTTATTTGATAGTATCTGTTAGGATAGTCGGAAAAATATACCAATAATTATCGTGTTAAGTCTATGGTGTCCTTGGACCTTAAATGTACACTCCCTATTGGTCGATATTTGTTTCACTTGTCGTATATTGTACAAAATGTTGTTTTTTATTTTATGGTACGATGTGGTTTGTTTGGTTAGTATATAAATAGAGTATGTCTGAAATACAATGATTCATAACTCAGAGGCTGTGACTTGCGTTCTAGACTCAACTGGCTGGGCTAGGCAGGGAAGCGGGACCAATCGGGACTCTAGGTCGTCCTTAAGTGTCACTGTGATCGATCGATAAATACGCTGCTTATCAAAACCTGCAGTCCACCCGTTACAACAGTATCATTACCAGTATGAAATAGGAGACCTAAGACAGTGGAAAGTTGATTCATTTTTAAAACTTTGTAACAATTTGAACAGAATAAATACACAACATCTTTAAGCACTATATACAACACTTAGTAAATGATTTCCTCGTTTGTTACTTAATTTTTGAAATCTGTGACAAAATTAACGACACCTTTATTTCATTAAGTATTAATCAGTGTTGTACTTGATATCATCGAATCAAGTAAACATTATATATTCAAATAAAGTACATTACTTCGCAAAGATTCTATCTAATGGTTATCTATGAGTTACAATCAGGAATCTTATATTGACGAAACAACGTTTTAGCAAAAGCTAAACTGTCATAATAGACTAGAGATAAACAAATACGATTATTTGATCAGGTCTACAAATAGTAAGCTTCCTGTAAGTAATCTATTTTAAATGAAAATCTAGGACTTGTAGAGTTTGCGAACAAATTTTCTTCACACCAAAACTACTTAAACAACGGAAAATTTTGCAATGAAAAACATCATTTCAAAAAGTTGCCTACCCGGAATGCTGATACACAATTTCCTATGTACTCCTTGTTATTAACTCAGACTTGTATATTTGGTTCCGTCGCAAACATTTTGAATGTATAATAGTTAGTGATACTAGTCAGTTGACCATACAAACAGAGATTCAATCCTGAGAGTTAGTGGTTGAAAGCAAAACGCCTTAGAAATTAAGACAACTGTTCAACTACGAGCATTACGGTACAACAATCCAAGAACGTGATAATGAAAATAAACCATTGAACTTTTAAAAAATCCATTTAAGATAGTTTGATTAAAGGTTTAAACGATGTAATACATGAGTACCAAAATTTAAAAAAGGCCATAAGTAACAATTATTATAAAGTACATTGTTACATCAGCCGTGAATCAAAATTATTACCCGAATTAACAACAAATTACTACTAAATGACGTAATACATGAGTACCAAAATTTAAAAAGGCCATAAGTAACAATTATTATAAAGTAAATTGTTACATCAGCTGTGAATCAAAATTATTACCCGAATTAACAACAAATTACTACTAAATGACGTAATACATGAGTACCAAAATTTAAAAAGGCCATAAGTAACAATTATTATAAAGTACATTGTTACATCAGCTGTGAATCAAAACTAATACCCGACTTGACAACAAGTTCCTACTATCTTGAAAATCGTTCATATCAACATTTAACTTAATAAAAATGTCGACAATTCGATCATTTTTACACCTTTCTATTAGGCCATTTCATCTGTTCTGGAAGAATGTAACGCGATGCTAGTGTTAAAATAGGCGTACCAGTTGGAATGCCAGGACAAGGACCATTACTTGAAGCGATATCCATATGTGTGTACGCCAAAGGCTTTTCAGTATTTTTCAAATGCTAGAGAAGTTATAAAGAAGTAAATATTTTGATTAAAAGATTGTCGTTGTGTCATTCAATGACGAAAGCATTTATACGACTAGTAATACATGTTAATGTAATGTCCAGTTAACTAAACGAATAATAAAAGTGTCACAATTTGATCACAGTGGTTATCGAATGATGTTTACAAACCCCCTTACGTATTAGATATACCTACAAATTAGATAAATTAAATTCTCTAAAAAGTGGGCGTAAGACGAAAATAGAGATAAAACTACACTAAAATCCTTACTGAGACATTAGGCACGACTGGCTAAAACTGAGAATTATCTTCTCTGAGTTGAGGATGTTAGATGACTCTCTGTGTTTGATTATCGTTGTCTCCGACGGATTACCGACATCCAGTGGCAACACCATGTTAGTAATGCAGAGGTTCGAAATCGTGTGTTCGGGCACAGCGACGATAATTCAATTGGTATCACCACCTTGGAAAATTGAATTGCCAACTTGCGTCATTTATGGCGTAGGCGAGATATCCGTCTATCAACCAAAGGACGGGTTTACTGCGCAGCACTTCGTTCCGTCCTACTTTATGGCAGTGAAACCTGGCCCGTAATAGTAGAGGATATTCGTAGGTTACTAGTATTTGATCATAGGTGTCTTCGAAATATTTCTCGTATATCCTGGGACCATCGAGTAAGTAATGCAGTTGTTAGGAAACGGGTATTAGGTAAGGATGGCAAATCGATTGATAAAGTGGTGAAACTTCATCAGTTGAGATTGCTGGGACACATGTTACGTATGCCCAACGACCGACTGCCTCGATGTGCGATGTTCAGTGATATAGGAGTAGGTTGGAAGAAAGCTAAGGGGGGCCAGACCAAAACATGGCACAAATCCATGAAGTCACTTACAAGTGGTCTGAGTCATGTTGGTAGGTGTAGACTACCTGGTTAGGGATCACGAGATGATAGCAACCGATGGTTAGAAACCTTGAATGACATGGCTCAAAATCGTTTGCAATGGCGCAGGTGCATCCACTCTTTGTGTTCTCCCAAATTCTAATCTTCTGGATTCTTCATGTCCCTTTCTCTTTTCTCTTTCCAAACTTATTCCACTGGATTATACTCCTTGAATAACATCTTCAAATCCTAATGTCTTCGATTACAGCTTATTCTCTTACTGCCTCTACCACTACGGGATTTGAATCGACGACTGCACCTCTGTGCTAATGTGGTATGGCAACTCAAACTGATGTACGTACGTACGAAGCCCTATGTTGTTACCGACTGACTGAAATTTACTTTTCGAACAAGCTGATCACGTATATATTTGTTAAGAACATTTATATACGAAAAGTCGAAAGGTAAACTTGACAAATGGAAGGAAGGAGAAAACAGTGATAATCAAGAAAATGTTTAAGAAAATAGTGCAAAACTTAACAAACTGTTTTTTGAACACATTTAAGTGGTTGTCAGTTTCCGTAAGGTCAAAGCTTCAATATAACACTTTTGCAGAAAACCACGTAATCCTAGTTAATATCAATCTTATGACTTGTTTCAATTATGAGTTTAGAAAGAGATAACGATAGATGCTTACCATCTACTCTTATTTGGTTAATTGATTCCATTTGTGATGGTACATGTTAAAACACCCTCATTTGCAAATCACAATCGCTGCTTCCTACATATTTGTGATCACAAACACATGTAAAGTGATAAACAAAGTGGGATGTGACTCAGTCGTTCACATCCCGTTTAGGTTCTCAGCGAAGAATGGACCTCGCTCTATCAATAGTAATGACCTTTGCCACATAGTACATTTTACTGGAAAATGATATGTTTCAACAAAAGACTATTAGACTAATCTCTCAATGGTAGGGTGATGTAGAAAAACTTTTTCGTTGTCAAAAGTGTAGTAAGTCTCAATGTACTATGACCTATACATAGATTTATGAATTCATAGCATAAAAATTCTTCAATGTTTTTCTCCGTAGCATCACATCGTTTCCTTATTACACTATTGAAAGATATCAAAAAGACTAATTGTTTTAAATAATAAAATAATAAATAGGACGTACGGAGTCCAAACCAGATGCAATAATCATAAATGCGACTGGAGACTGATGCCCTCTGCTACGTTTCCCACCAATCAGACGAGCAGAATTCAATAAATCACAATATTCTTCATCAGTTTTATGCGCATCATAATCTTCACGTCGGAGTGTTGATATCTAGAAAGTTAATAATTATTTAACAATAATAATAACATATCAGCAAATTAACGTAGTTGAATAGTAAATTGCAAAAAGCATGCTTTCAAATCAAACATTTAAAACTAGATAATCGAACTACTAATATTATAATGCAGCTCATTTATTAAATACAGGTTTATCGAAGATAAACTACTTAAACTCCGATAATTACTAAGAAAGAATGGTTATCCTACCAAATTTATTGACAGAAAGCCGAAGCAAAAAAGCCAACTTCAGAGAGTACTTACAGTATCAAAGAAGAGTTCTCCCATAAATATAGAATTTAAAAGAGATGCTGCTGAGGAAATTCTGGAGAGATCAATTTCAAAATATCTGAGAAGATTATCTATTCTGCAATGTTTCGTATCGTCTTCTACAACAGGTTTGTCATTTATGAATGTTTTAAAAATAAACCTCTGCTTAGGGTCAAGTGTATGTGTAACTTTTTAAGTTTACTTGCTCTTATGAGACACCTTACACTGGGGACATGAAACGAATGCTATCTAGATACATTATAAAACACTACCTGGTGTAGATTTTCAATGAAGAACACAAAATTGTCACCAGCTCAATACAGGAACATCTCATCAACTATGAGCACATCGTTCATAAAATAATAATTTACACAGTCTGAGTGGGATCATAAGGAGTACATATTAAAAATAGGCTCAATTACATAGCACAGGGCTACCCTATACAAAAGAGGCTTTCCGATAATATCCAGGAAGTTCTGGACAGGTGTACCAATCTAATATGGGACTTCTGAAAAGAGAACATTCGTCACCCAGCAAGGGATCAAACTCATGACCTCTGGATTTCACAACGAGGACAGTCCAGTTTCTATTGACTTTTAGCGGTTATCTATGGTTAGTCCATGATGTGTATAGTACCATATTATAGAGTACTGATTCAACAAGAGCGAAGAATTAATAATACATCACCACACATACAAATTTAGAATCTTTTACTACAAATCGTTTTCATAATAAGTTATATTTCATTACTTCGTTAAGCGATTTGTACGTATGACCAGAATAGCATAAGAGAATTAGAGAGAAAAAAACAAAACAACATAATCTAACTACTACTTAGCTTAACGCACTTCATGCATTTCACCTAACAATGATCCAGCAAACTGATAGTCATAATCTTCTCCAAGTTCTTTAGCCGGACCATTACAAACGATACCCTATAAAGAAAACAAAAGCATAAGAATATACAAAAAAAAAGAAATACATGAAAGTAGACCCAGATGACTACAACATAAGTAGATTGAAGTATCAGAAATCATTGTAAAGAATTATTTACGCAACACAACATAAATTTAATTAGATTTTCGATTTTTCTCTAGTACTATTAGCATTATGTATTATAAGAAACCGGAAATCGAGATGTATAAAACCCCATACAAAAACTAAGACATAAAATAAGAAAGTACTTATATGCGTGACATAGTGAATAGATGTAATAAAAAAAAGCCATGGCAAATATATCCGGTAAATAATATGTCCATTATTATAAACAATGATTAATATGAATACACATTAAAAATGGGACGAAACGACTTATTTAAGCAATTTAAACAGAATTTTTGTAGAACGTGGAAAAGCCATAGCTAATGAATCTTATGAGAACTATATACATCTGTAGGAATAACTAGAATAAAAGATTGTGCAATATGATAAGATTTGAAAGTGAAGTAGAAAATGGAATAAACTAGTCGGCAGTGAAGAGAGTTGGGTTGCTGAGCTACAGATTATGATAATTAGTAGATAGTTTATTTAGAGCAAACAGTTTAAGATTCGTCAGTAGTACAACAGCAGCAAAAATGCACTGATTTACATAAGTTACTATCGATGAAAAAGAAAATGCCAAGAAACTCTCGACAGTAACTTTGATGCTTCGGCGAATGCCATAATACAATTTCGGCAACAATCATTTGCTCACTAGTGACTAGTTTTAAGAAAAAAATCCCAGTGAGTTATGACGGGTGTTCAGCCATGTTGGGTGAGACAGGATGGTTGTGAAATATTGCGAGTTGGTTGAAGCTAGACTTGTACATCATTGAGTCTAAGCTAACGGTCTAGAGATTAATCGTTCGCGCGCGTGAACGAAGGCTTTGGACACGATTCATGCGTACACAGTCGTGGATGCGCACTGTTGAAGTGCTCCATTCAAGGGAGAAACAGCCTTCTAGTTCTACCAAGTTGTTAATGCTGGTATAACTTGGATCGATTTTTTGATTTCACTGAAATAACCATTTAATCATATGTTTGTAGTTAATTAGTAAACAGGATGAAATTCAGTAATAACAGAGGGAAAGATCAATTACTGTAACTGATATAATTGGTACACAGACTTTGATTATGAATCAGTCAACAACTCTCTTCTAGACATGTGGAAAATTGTAAATATAAGTCAAACTTGGAAACTATACGATTACTTTGAATAATAATGCAGTTAATTTCGCTATATGTTTATAAACCTCCAGAAGCAACCTATTATCATGAACTGAATTGATTAAAACTATTTATCTGCATATTGACACTTATAAACAAATGACTGTACTATATATGTCACACAACGATTATTTAGTAACACTAGATAAGGTAAAATTAAACAAATTATCTACAAATAAACTATTATATTCCATATTTTATTTGCATACATGTTATCGGTGTGTTATAAGATTGGTTCAGGTTGATTTTCACAAGTTCAATAATACTTTATTTGATTATCCATTTGTAATCCTAATTATTTCAGTCAGACTTTTGAAAGAACACTAAGTCGAGGTCGTTTATACGGTGTGTTTTGTGCATAATTTAGTCTGTCATTTATAATAAAATTATAAACTCACTTATAATACATAGTAATATTCAATGGAAAGGATTCCACAAAGCGATTCAATAAATAAGCTTAAACATTACCGTATATCCTAGTCCATAGCATAACCCAACATGACCAGTCAAAGTAGCGATTGTCAGTAGTCGTGGATTTGATACTTTCAATGCCTACAAAATAGATGTAGATGCATATTTCGAACAACCGTTGTGATATTAAAAAGAAAACTCTTGAGACCACCACTGTAGTTATCATTATTTTAGACTGTTGCCTTTGTATTCCCAAGTAGCATCTTGATGTAAAGCCGCAAAGAGCTTTGCTTCGTTTTGGTGACCTACCTGAATTAATTGTGTTATTATTGCTTAATCAAGGTCATGTGAATATTATTGAAGCCCCCAAATGCCCTGGTATGGCCGAGAGTCGGGTGAGCCCGCCCTCCCTCTTGAAATGCTCTCATACGGCCACGCGTATACAGCCTCTGCCAGGGAAGTCCTACTCACTGCCTCCTCGTGGCGCCATTCAAACTGGCTGCCTTCAACGTTCGCACACTTATGCAGGTCGGACAACAGATAGGGCTGGCTATGTCTTTGGAAAGTCTTAATATCGACGTCTGTTATCTATCCGAGACCCGTATTCAAGACTCTGGTGAAGTGCTACAAATTCGCTCTCCATCTGTCGCTTTGAAAAGCTTCTTTTACGTGCGTTTATCCGGGGACCCTATGGCATCTTCGTCTGGTCTTGCTGGCGTTGGTGTCGCACCAAGCGCTAGAGCTGAAGCAGCACTTATCGATTGGATCCCCATTAACAGTCAGTTATATGCTGTTAGATTAGAAAGTTCCATCAAAGTGATAAGAAATCGGCGTGAGAAACGATGTATTTTCGTCATTTCCGCCTATGCCCCGACAGATTGCAGCCCGGATGCAATCAAGGATGAGTTTTACCACGAGTTATCTGTTCTTCTCCAGAAAGTGCGTCCGACAGATATTGCAGTACTGGCCGGAGACTTGAATGCTCAGGTTGGGCGTTTAGGTACAGAAGAGAGTCGTTTAGGTGGCCGATGGGGACTCGTTGGTCGCAGGTCAGATAACGGGGACCGTCTACTGCAACTTTGCGCAGACCACAACCTGTTTCTGGCTAGCACTAACTTCCGGCACAGTCATCGCCGACGTGCCACCTGGCGTCCTCCCTCTGCATCTCAAGACTGGACTCGGATTGATCACATCGCGATCAGCTACCGCTGGCGTGGTTGTGTACAGGACCGCCGCCAATCTTACCTTACTCTTCAGTGGCCAACGAAGTGACCGCCACCAAAGGATTGATGTCAGCAAGTTGGTTGTAAATTATGTTGCAAGTAAGTATAGAAACGAGCTAGCTTCTAGGCTAGCTACCATTCCACGGAAAAGTATAGATGATCATTGGTTGCAACTTCATGACGCCATGAAAATGGCGAGTAAAGCCGCTTGCGGCTTTGCGAAACGTCCGGCTTATAAGCACTGGGTTTCCTCTGGTTCCTTACAACTCATTGAAGCCCGCCGATCTACTGCAGGTGACCGTGAGTTTGACCACAAACGAAGAATGTTACGTGAGGAAATTGGGCAAAGTTTGCGTAAGGACCGAGAAGCCTGGTGGTCGGAGTGCGCTAACGAGCTGGAAGCAGCAGCTGCATCTGGTAACTACCGAAAGCTCTTCCATCTCATCCAAGCCACTGGCAGCAAGAAGTCTGGTGTGAGCGAAACAATCTGTGAGGATGACGGGATGAAAATCACTAACATCCATCGACGTCTTGGGCGATGGGCGAAATTCTTCGGAGGGCAGTTCAACTGGCCTGCTGCTCCGGCAACATCGTTCAGACTGTCCTGCCCTCCATGGCCGGTGACGACTGACCCATCAAATGAGGCGGAGGTCCGCAAGCAACTCCATCTCTTGAAACGCTACAAATCACCGGGCCCAGATGACTTACCTCCGGCCCTTTTTAAAGATGGTAGTGACTTTCTGGCTAAGGAATTGACAACGTTGTTTACAAAGGTCTGGGAGCTAGAGAGTGTACCAACGTCATGGAATGAGTCGATAGTTGTCCCTATCTTTAAAAAAGGTTCACGTCGTTCTTGTAACAACTATCAGTCTACTTCCGATTGCATCCATGCTATTGGCTTCCGTCATACTTCGTAGGCTGTTCAAAACCCAAGAAAGATTGACTCGCGAGGAGCAGGCTGGTTTTCGATCCGGTCGAGGATGTATTGATCATATCTTCACCCTCCGCCAAATGTTAGAACACCGTCATACTTATCAAAGGCCGACAATCGTAGTGTTTCTTGACACTAGGGCTGCCTTCGATTCGTTGGACAGGACTGTTCTCTGGGATTGAAGAAGGGTGTGCCTGAGAAGTTTATTAATATTCTAAAGGACATATATAAAAACACCTCAGGCAGAGTGAGGGCATACAACCACCTTTCTCCGTTGTTCCATTCGGGCAGTGGGGTTAGGCAGGGTTGACCAATCTCACCATTCCTCTTCAACTTTGCCATCGATGACATCCTGGAAACAGCTCTGATGGATGTAAGTAATGGCGGTGTGGATCTGTTGCCTGGAGAGAGACTTCTCGACCTTGAGTACGCCGATGATATTGTCTTACTGTGCGATAATGCCCAAGACATGCAATCCGCACTTAATCAGTTGGCAATCAGTGTCCGTAGGTATGGTATGTGCTTTGCACCTTCGAAGTGCAAAGTACTTCTACAAGACTGACAGGATTCTAATCCTGTACTCACCCTGGATGGTGGGCAGATAGAAGTAGTCGAGAAGTTCGTGTATCTAGGTAGCTGCATAAGTGCTGGTGGGGTGTGAGTGATGAGATCAATGCACAGAGCGGCGTATGCTAATCTGGGCCATCTTTAGCGCCTTCGTAAAGGTCGGATCTACAACGCGTCGGTGAGAGCAGTTTTGCTCTATGCTTGTGAAACCTGGCCTCTCTGAGTTGAGGATGTTAGAAGACTCTCTGTGTTCGATCATCGCTGTCTCCGAAGGATTGCTGGCATCCAGTGGCAACACCATGTTAGTAATGCAGAGGTTCGGCATCGTGTGTTCGGGCACAGAGATGATAATGCAATTGGTGTCACCATCTTGAAACATCGACTTCGGTGGCTTGGATATGTTCTCCGAATGTCGTCCCAGAGAATTCCACGTCGCGCATTATTTTCCGACTCTGGGACTGGTTAGTGTATGACATGGTTTCGTGGTATGAAAGAAAGCTGCAAAAAGCTGGCTTGTGTTGGTCCGTCACGACTCCCTGGCTGGGGTCCGAGAGATTGTGTGACAGTGTGGTCAGAGACGTTATCATATATGGCTCAGAATAGAAGCCAGTGGCGATCCTGCTGTAACCTTCTTTTACTTTCTTCATAAAAAGTGGTTGTATCTTCCTTAACTGAAAGATTTCTTCCGATTGTCCCTCTCCGTTTCCCCCATTATCACTATTATTATTACACTACCTTACACTAATCTGTACGTTATTGTTTTTCTTCTCTTCGAATTCTCATTGTTTTGTGTGGCGCATATATATTCGGTGCCCTCTTGTACCAATATTTATGTGTTCAAATAAATAAAGAATATTACTGAAATAAAAAGATCAGTTCGTAGGCTTGCCTTAACTTCAGTTATGAGTTTGTTCTACACATTTGTATGTAGTTGTGGTGTCGTTCGATTGCCTTTGTTATATTAGAGGTTCAATCTATCTAATCAAGTTCGATTCATTGTGCTCCACCTGACTGGGGCAATCGATAACACCTAGCAGCGTGTGTTTTCAGGCTTAAAAGAACTAATAACCTCCCTGGGATTTGAATCCGCATTACAAGAATTTCTCCTAAACGCCTTCATATACACAGCATAGCAAAAAAGTTCAAGCGGTTGAGTAACCTACACAAGTAACCATGTTTTAAATTGATCGGCCGAATGCAATCAACGTTAAGAATTACATAAACATGGGAGTCGTTGCTACTCAGCGACCAACCGTTTCAAATATATCAGTCGTATGGGATAGCTGCCTGGACAGAACAATTATAATCTCACTGTGAGACTACATCTATACTTGCGTACATAAACTATTTCAAGTGCAGATCATAATAAAATAATCGAAAGTGTCGTTGTGGGACAAAATGGACGATTGTTCAGTTAACCAGACAAAAATAAAATATTGTGAAAATTTAGTTCTACACGCTTCATTTTGAAACAAAAAAGTAACAAGTAGATAGATAAGGCAAATATACATTTATTCACTTACCTTCTCCTTAGCTTCACATAATAAATCAGTCATAACCATTCGACCTTCAGCATCAGTATTGTTCACGCGAACCCGTACTCCAGCACGTGAAGTTACTATTTCATCACTTACATAAGCATTTTCACCAATGCTGTTACGAACTAAACCTAAAGTACCATGCACCTAAGAAAAACAGAAGAGAAACAATTGTTTGATGAACATCACCCTCAGGTAAACAAAATAAGTTACAAATCATTGACCACATTCTTATAATTGATACTGAAAAAAGGAACTCTGTAAACATGGTGAAGGTTATTAGATTTAACATTTAATCTGACTGAACAGATAATTGATCAGGGAAGTAAAACGTAACATGCTATAGATGCATAAAGTGAATAACTGGGTTGAATCATTTAGAAGGACAAATATTGATCAGAATAAGTTAGTTATTAAAAGGAATATGCCAAGGAAAGCCACTAAATGCATTATACCATAATACCAACCAGGTACTATTTGTTTTATTCTACATACAATCCAACGGTGAAAAACTCCGCCGAAAGCCCTTCTATGATTACTGGGGGTCTCAAGCCTGAATAAAGGAGGGTCGAGCATGGGCTCAACAACCACATCTCGTAAAAAAGTCAGTGAGGGAGGAAGAACAAGTGACAACAAAATGGAAAGAAAGACACATCATCAAGAGTCTAAAGAAAAGGTCTCAGCATGCACGAGCACTACAGACGCATCACACTACTATCACTACCAGCAAACCTTTTCAACAGTGATGTGAACCGGATCAAAAATTAAGTAGACGACCAGCTTCAAGTTCAACAGATCAGATTCCGTGAGGATCGGTCGAGCACAGACCAAATCGCTACACTCCTGATCAATATTGTGCAATCAATTGAATGGAATTACTCACTACACAACAACTCCCTTGATTATGAAAAGGCATTTGACAGCGTGAATAGGAGAATCTTTCGAAACCTTCCTCGACAATATGGTGAATCTCAGCAGTAGGTCTCTACATACACAGGGCAATATGTTAAATCCCCAAATACAACACGCAACACACTACACCTAATCACACTTGATGCAGATGCTCTAGAACACGTGGAAATTCTCACATATCTGAACAGCAGCATCGATGAAAAAGGAGGATCTGGTGCAGATGAACACACAAGGAATGGCAAAGAAATGGCCACCACATTCCTATAATTGAAGAACATACGAAACTCAAAACAACTGTCAACTAACATCAATTCAGAATCTTCAATACGAACGGGAAGACAATTCTAGTGTATGGAGCTGAAACTTGTACCAATATCACAACCATCATCAAAAGAGTACAAGTATTTATGAGCAGTTGTCTTAACATGATATTTAATGTCCGTCAGTTGGATACCACCAGCAACAGCCTACTGTGGGGGAGAACAAGCCAGCTTCTAAATTAAGAGGATATTAGGAAAAGACTTTGGAAGTGGGTAGGACATACACTGTGTAAATCATCAAACTGGATCATGAGGCAAGCGGTAACTCGGAATGCTGAAGAGAAACGGAAAAGAGGAAGACCAAAGAACACACTGCGTTGAGAATTATAAGCAGACATCAATAGAATGAATAACAACTGGAAAGAACTGTCCAGAACATAGTTGGATGGAGAATTTCGGTGAGCGGCCTATGGTCTTCCACGAGGGGCAACAGGTGTAACTAAGTATCTAATGAACTAGTGTTCCACATTCTTTAGTAAGCAAGCGTGAAAACTCTAAACGTTTATCTTAGTAATTTTTAAAACAACTTGAAGTTCAATTAATGAACCCTATAATATAATCTAAACACTGCTGTAACTAACTGTTCAATAAGCCCTATTAAATCAACTGCATAAAAACCAAATTCACAATTATAACCTTTAGGTTTTTCGGTTTCAATAAGTTTAAAATTTTGAAAAATCCGGCCACAGCAGCTGCACCACATTTATCCCGATGCATCGTAGCCATAATACCTCCAACTTTAAGATCTGAGCCACCCGTATCATAGGTAACGCCTTTACCAACTAAAAACAAATTGACTATTTGCTGAGGATCAATTTGTGATTCGGTAGATCCATCGTATTCTAAGTGTACAACGTGACCACGATGTCTTTCATTATCTATGAGTAATTAAAAAACACAAAACATTACAATTATATTTCAATAGATAAATGGGACAATTAAAAAAACATGGAGCACTAGTCTATCAGCACGCTTAATGCTGATTGACTATTGTTCAATCCGCATCGCTTAGCATTCATAATTGGAAACTAAGGAACCACTACAATACGATGTAAAATACAATAATTATTATAACAGTTTAAGGTCATGGTAAAGATAAGGATAAGACGTAATTCTTTTGTACGCGCAGTTCTGGCTTTATCTCATTAATGGCGGCAGCTTCTGTAGTTTTGGGGAGTCGAATACAAAAAATCTATGTAGATTTTGATAAATTCTATAAAATCAACCTATGGATAAGTGAAGTGATTGGAATCGACTAAATGTTCGAAAAAAGAACTCCTATGCTTCTTGCTCTGACCTTTGGAGAATCGTCATGGTTACGACCAACGTACCTTACACCAAAAGAGCATAAAAACTGACAAACGGACGGTCCGTTACAGATACATGTGACAAGCCTCTACTAGTGAACGTTAGTTGCAGCTTTTCAGCACAGAACATTTTATAGCTGTCGTTGACTGATTTTAAATACAATATAAGTTTGGCCACCTTTAAATCCTAAGTTCACAAAACGATATTTCCTAAAGAAAGAATTTTCGAACACTATGTTCCGAATGCATTTCACGTTTTTCTCTACAAATTGGCCTGAAAAGCCATCGTCCTAAGAAACAAGATTTCGCGCACTAGAGTCGTTAGCCATGGTGACACTTGGGGAGGAAGTTTAGAGTTGAAAGTCCAGGTGGAAGAAATAATAGGAATTGAAGAGGAAAATTGTTATAAACACAGTGATTTTGAGTGCTGTTAGAGATATGAGGGCGGTTATCACTTCCCGGTTGCCCACACCGTGGAAGGGTTCTTCTGGAGGTACTTGAAAAGAAAATTGGGTTAGAGGTGGTCTTAGTGACCTGAGAACGTGCTGCAGTGCCCAAGGGACAACTGCTTGAGGTCGGTCACACACGACCTTTTTATGAGTATTTTCGTGTGAGCTCCGTACTTGTTCCGACCTCACTGCTGGAGACGGATATCCGTGGAATAAGGCGGTGTGCATTTTTGGGGTCGACCTTTTCTAACTTCATCCCTCCTTGTGAGAAGGCAGTTTCGCTGTTATGCTGGTTGTCTGAAGGAAACACCTTACTGCCGTCACACTTCTGTACATTCAGCAGTACGACTTCGCCCTCGAATCTTGGGTTTGCTGCTTTCAATCTTACCGCTCTTCGGCCAACCTGTCTAGAATGGTAGGACCTTGAGGAACGGTTGTTCCAGCCAGTATACATCGATTGGTTCATCACGATAAGCAAGCCTGACGTCTACGTCAAGGTGGCGGCAACAGTTGGGACCTCTCTGTCAGAAGCTTATTGAACAATGAAATAGTACGGCCTACTACATTTTCCAACTTCGAATCACGGGAAGGATGGCATGCACTGAGAGAATGAAAATTTTCAATTAATTGAACATTCGTCGCAAAAGGCAGAAGTGTCGTTCATATAACAGTTCAGCAAGAAGTAGTATCCATTTATAGTCAAGTAAACAAACTTCACTTCACTTTTGTCTCACAACTAATATCAGATAGTCAGTCAGTAACAACGTAGAACTTCGTACGTACGTACGTACATCAGTTCGAGTTGCCACACCACATTAGGACAGAGATGCAGTGGTCGATTCAAATACCGCAGTGCTAGGTGTAGTAAAATAATAAGCTATAATCAGAAAAATTAGGGTTTGAAGATGTTATTCAAGGAGTATAATCGAGTGAAATAAATTTGGAAAGAGAAAAAAGAAAGGGGCATGAAGAATCCAGAAGATAAGAATTTGGGAGAACACAGAGAGTGCACCTGCGCCATTGCAAACGATTTTGAGCCATATCATCCAGGGTCTCTAACCATCGGTTGCCATCATCTCGCGGTCCCCAACCAGGTAGTCTACACCTACCAATATGACTCAGTCTACTTGTCAGTGACTTCATGGACTTGTGCCATGTTTTGGTCACAACTAATATCGAATTTCTATTTTCCTTGACGATCCAAAATTCACATGCTTTAATGGCGAATTTCCGCTTGGTTGGGTTCGTTCAAATGCTGGTAAACTAGTGTACCAAATTAACATAGGTTACGTGGCTTTGTGCCCCTAAATGCCCTGGTATGGCCGAGAGTCGGGTGGGCCCGCCCTCCCTCTTGAAATGCTCTCACACGGCCACGCGTATACAGCCTCTGCCAGGGAAGTCCTACTCACTGCCTCCTCGTGGCGAGGGTGTTATTTATAAAAATGAGAGAACGAAAAGCGAATGTCCGGTGCTTTAACCGGATCCCAAACTAATGGTGCACGTGGGCTCCAGTATCCTGCGGGAACAAATGGAGTATGAACCAATCGTTGGTCACCGGCTACCATGGGACTGCATCTCCTCACGATGCTCCACTGCCTTGTGGGTCAGACCTTTAGGTCAAAGGCTCGGAGTGTGGCTCCCTAAGATAACCACCTGCTTCGGACTGGGCACCCGGGCAGTATCACAGCCCACACACACAAATATGGTGTGGTGGATATATATTTGGTGCCCACTTGTACTAATATTTATGTGTTCAAATAACAAATAATTGTAGTGTCAGTTATGCCAAGCCCATATACCTTATTCGAGCTTTATCGTGGCTTTTATTCCTGGGTGCGACATGTTGTGCATGCTTTCGAATATTTTGTGTCGCAACGTTTTCGGGATAAACGGTCGCGGTCGGCCTGTTGATGTATCGCAAATTACTTTCGTGTTACCAAACCGCACCTCTTCGAGTACTAATGATGTTATACCACCGGATTTGAGTTTATTTAGCTCGATGTCTCTCTCCTGCAACTTTGCTAGACCGTTATAATCAATTCCACTTGCCATAAGTGTGCTTATCGTTGCTCGTGACAATGCGTCGGCCACATCGTTTTCTTGTCCTTTAACGTACTGTATGTCGGACGTGAACTGTGAAATGAACTCTAGTTGTCGGATCTCTCTCGGGGAATAATTGTCTTGCTTTGCGCTTAATGCTTTCGTTAGCGGTTTGTGGTCTGTATAGACGGTAAAACTTATGCCTTCGACCATATGACGGAAGTGTTTTATTGCCAAGTAGATTGCTAATAATTCTCGTCCAAAAGTACTATATCTCGTTTGGGTAGGATTTAATCTTTTCGAGAAAAATGAAAGTGGCTCCCATGCACCGTTTACTAACTGCTGCAAAACGGCTCCTACTGCTAAGTTCGATGCGTCTGTCATTACTGCTAATGGTGCTTCGCTCTTTCGTCGTACCAACATCATCTTCTCGTTTAGCGCTCGCTTAGCGTTCTCGAAAGCCTGTATAGCATCCTCTGAAAGACGGAATGTTCGAGTATGTCCTCGCAAGGCGTCCGTCAATGGCTGTAATATTGCTGCGCAGTTTGGGATAAATCGTCTATAATAGTAGTTTATTAGCCCCAAGAATCTTCGTAATTTTCTTTGTGAATCGGGCAACGGATAATTACGAATAGCAGCAACTTCTGTCGGAACTGGCGTGATACCATGTGAATTTATCATATGACCTAGGAATTGCAATGATTCCTTTCCAAATTCACACTTTTCCACGTTAATAGTGACGCCATGTTCTAGAACTCTCGATCGCTCACTCGCTCGCACGGTCTCGTCACGCTCTTGCTCTGGCTCTCGTTCGCTTGCTTGCCTTTCGGCACAACTCTCCTATGCTTGTTTAACACATCTATTATTTGGATATATGTGTGTGGTTTCGTAATAAACGTAATCGACACTTCGTATTTGCCTTCTGTTTAATATACCGTTGGTACGTTATATAGAACGGTTATCACGACGAACTGTATACGAAGTTTAAGGATTATATCAAATACCGACCACCACATAATAATGTGGCTTTGTAAGAATAGCTGTTTGGAGTAGGATGCAAATCGTGACAATTAACAAGAGAAAAAGTTGAAGAGCCTTTTCCCAGGTACTGGGAAATACTGACGTCAGACCTGTTTCCAGAATATCATCGATTCCAAAGTTGAAGTGTGGTGAAATTGGGCAACTGAGCAAAATCTCATTGCATGAATACAATAATGGAGAGAGGTAGTTGTATACCTTCGCTCTGTCTGTGTTTGTGTACAAACTTCAAAATATCAGTAAACTTCTCGGGGGACACTGCTACAAAAGACAACCGCAAAGCGCAATCATATCCCACGAATCAAAGGTAACACTCATATCAAGAAACATAGATTTTTAGCCTTTACGAAGTGTGGAAAAGCAAAAACATTTGCCGGACGGTGATATGATTAAAACTTGATCTAAAATCAGTCAATCTCATTAGTTTTGTACAATTTACGAAGCACAACGAACGTTAACAGTTTGGATACGATCGAAAGTAGACGCATCCCACAGTAATCACTGTATTAACAAGACAGGTCAATTTCAAACATAGAGATGATGACTGCTTCATTCCATAATGTTAGGGCAGTGATTTCCTAACATTTCCTAACAAACACGTTAGTTTTCTGACCAGGTGTTCGCTATCATCTTTAAAATGAGTCAGAGTCACATCGTTAAGGTCTGGTGAATTTCGGAGCTTCAACAGTTCCTCGTGAACCTTCACTTCGTAAGGTGGACCGGTTGCCACCGGCCACTACAGACAAGACAGTCTGCAAGAATAATACTCAGCTTATTAATCTTGTGTTAAAGCTTACCCGTGCCATCTAAGTTTAACACCATGAACATTAACAACATACCTAGGAGATTTTAAGTGAATTTCGGATGTAGCATAGATAGATCAAGCGAACGGATCTACAAAGCTCCGTTTAATTTAATTGATATATTATCATAACTCCTCGAAAGTATAGAATGCGAAACACGCTAAGTTCGATAGTCCTAATGACACATAAGTGGTATCATTTGCACATGGAAAATTACTAGATATTTTCAATATATGTAAACATGTAGTACACAAATAAGTTGAGCTGTTTTTTTATTATTTTGCTGTCAAGCTAAAGAAAATAACTTACTTCCACGATCTACTATAGCTGACAGAGGGTAAAGCCCTCGATCAACAGGACAATCAGTCACCTGAACAGGTTCTGTCAATTCTTTTTGAAGGTACGTCACTATATTCTTTGCACTCATACGTTCTGGGTCAGATCCACCTATATCACGTGCGACTCGTAAACCCTCTTCCAAACACCAGGCTAATCCAGTCTATATAGTTTAGATAAGGAAAAACTAAGTCAAAATCATGGTTTATGAATATATGTAAATACATTAGTTTCGGAAAGTAAAAATGACTATGGATCAAGAAAACCACATAGTATAAACAGTAATGAAATAACAGCAGTTATTAACTGGTTAACTCAAACGCTAGTGTACAATCTAACATATCCGATGACTAATTGGACCACTAAGTAGACTGTTATACATTCCCAGAGCGAGTGATTTACAAACCCAATTGATGGATTTGTGGAAATAGTAGAGAGACATATGTCTAAGAACCACTTGTATATTTTTCAATTATCTTCGTTTTCTTGATTATTTGTGTGTAACACAACTTTTAAATATACTGGTTAATTGTTGCTAATCGTACACGACCAGCATCATAAGCGTCGTATTATTGTTGTTTCCAAACATGGTTTGAATAGTGATACAAGAATATGGTCATGATGCGTTGAACATGACAGAAAATAAGTTGGGTTCGAAGTGCAACTTTCAATCACTTAAACTACATTGAGTGAAGTTATGGGACAGCCGATATCCTGTTGCTGTCCAAATTAAAGAATGAAGTAACTGAGATATGACTGAATTGTAGTTTAAGAACTCAAACCAAACCAGGTGAAAACTACACTATAAAAAGATATGACAAGCATTAAACCCAAACAAAGATCATTACTTACGACAATATTTTATAAATAGCCAATTTGTTCCGAATATTAAAGCACTAACAACAAAATATAATAAAATCTTACAAGTTTCTCGTGGTCTACTGCGTAATGTGTCCCAGAAAACCAACCCAGGACTTCAGCTTTTTGTGACTGAATAGGTTTTGTGCATGTAGAACCTTCCGGACGGTCAAACTCACGAACTTCGAGGGGCTGATTAAATAGAGAAAATTTAAAATTAGTACATTTATTTTACTGGTACTGCATACATTTTGAAAGTTTAATTTTGTAATATAAGAAATGGAAGTTAAAAATGTGCTTAAACTCCCCCCCCCATATAGTTTACCACTTGAAATCATCATCAAGAGGAAAACGATAACAGGATAAATCAAGTGACTATGGGCAACAAATCGCTTAAGAGAGTAATAGACGGATAAAGACAAGACAGAAATACAAAAGTATTGGATAATATATACAGTTAGAAAGAACGTTTTTATACAGTTTCTATTGGTTTTGAGCTTTATTGCTAATTACACAGACACTAATCAACAACCCTTTCACCATTCAGATAAACGAACGAGACGTTAAGTGATATGAACCATTATCGCTACCAATGCTACAGGAGTATTCACCTTCCGTAGAACATAAACTTCTAAATTTCTTGTACTTGTGAATAGCAACTTTACTTTCAATGACCTATAAAATACCACTCGATTGAATATAGTACACGTAGAAAAATTTAAATCAGTGAATTATTATTTGAACACATGAACACAAGTGGGCACCAAATATATATGCACCACACATTTTCATTATCATTATATTTGTGTGTGGGCTGTGATACTGCCCGGGTGCCCAGACCGAAGCAGGTGGTTATCTTAGGGGGCCACACCCCGAGCCTTTGACCTAAAGGTCTGGCCCACAAGGCAGTGGAGCATCGTGAGGAGATGCAGTCCCATGGTAGCCGGTGACCAACGATTGGTTCATACTCCATTTGTTCCCGCAGGATACTGGAGCCCACGTGCACCATTGGTTTGGGATCCGGTTAAAGCACCGGACATTCGCTTTTCGTTCTCTCATTTTTATTAAATAACACGCTCGCCACGAGGAGGCAGTGAGTAGGACTTCCCTGGCAGAGGCTGTATACGCGTGGCCGTGTGAGAGTATTTCAAGAGGGAGGGCGGGCCCACCCGACTCTCGGCCATACCAGGGCATTTAGGGGCATGATTGTTTCTTTACTTATTCAGTAAAACGGGAACGAAATTGTACTTTGGTTCAAAGCACATTCCGGGGTGCGTGACCTATCGCTGCGTACTTCGGTAACTTGGTCATGTCAGATGAGTCGTGGTGCAAATCAGTGAAACCATACAATCGATTCAATATTGAATTAGTCGTAGTATATCGCAGTTCAGAATGTGTAGATGATTTTCCCCTAAGTAAACTTAGGTCCTGGTGTAACAAGGGTAAAAGCCTTGTAGTAGGCGACTTTAATGCACCGTATATAAACTGGATTAACTAAGAAGTAGGGTCGTCGATAATGTCATTCGATTGCAAACTGTTAGAAGCCTCGATTGCATTAGCCTTATTCCAACACATTAGAAATCCCACAAGATATGACTTAAGAAAATCTTCTTATCTGTTAGATTCAGTCTTCACACACGGTGATGACGTTGGTCAAATGACTTTTCTCCCACCACTAGGGAGAAGTGACCATGCAGTCATATTATTCAAATTCATGGCTGAGATTGCCTGTCAAACAGTTGCGCCGCCCCGTCCTAATGGAAGGCAAATATGAAGGCAATCAACTCCGCAGCATCGGCTAAAAACTGGAAATTGACTCAAGGGCGCGAGATTCTAAAGTCCTAGCTAAGGAAGCCTGCTGTCCTATTTGGCAAAGTGTTCGTACGTTAAAAGCTCCTACGTGTAGTTTAGAGCGTGGTTTCAGGAGACCAGGAATAGCGTTCCACGTACTCGAATCGTTTGCCCTAGCGGTGCGAGGTGATAAAGAGACGTGAGGAGGGTTAGTCATGGAGATAAGAGAGGTATTAGGAGGTGTAGGAAGGATTTGAATGTGACCAACTTGGTCTCGTGTGCTGTTACGGGTATGAGGGCTGATGTCACTTCCCGGCTGCCCACACCGTGGAAGGGTATTTCTTGAGGAACATGAAAAGGAAATTGGATTAGTGTTGTTCTTGACGACCTGGGAGCGTGACCGCAGAGCCCAAGGGACAACTGCTTGAGGCCGGTCGCGCACGGCCTTTTTGTGGAAGGTTTTTGACGTGTTAGCTCCGTTCTTCAAAGGGCCTTACCGCCGGAGACGGAAATCCGTGAGGTAAGGTGAGGTGTGACATTTTTAGGGTCGACCTTTTCTAACCCCACCCCTCCTAGTGGGAAGGCAGCATCGCTGTCATGCTGGTTGTCCGAGGGAAACACCTTACTGCTGTCACACCTCTCTACAGTCAGCAGTACGACTTCGCCCTCAGACCTTGAGTTGCTGCTTTTAGTCTTACCGTTCACCAATCGACCTGCCTGGCATGGTAGAACCTACAGGAACATATGTTCCAGCCAATATAGCTCGGTTGGGTCATCACGATAGGCAAGCCCGACCACCTCGTCAAGGTAGCAGCTTCGGCCTGCGTCAACACCCGGACTAAGGATAAGCAGTGAAGTAGTCAAACGCATTGACAACTTCACTTATCTTGGAAGCCTGGTCAGCCCTAATGGGTTGGTGTATGACGAAATCTCTGCACAGATTCGAAAAGCTCGCTTGGCTTATGCCAACTTACGTCACCTATAGCGAAGGCGAGATATCCGTCTATCAATTAAGGGACGAGTATACTGCGCAGAAGTTCGTTCTGTTCTACTTTACGACTGCGAAACATGGCCATTGAGATTAGAAGATAGTCGTAAGCAACTAGTATTTGACCACAGATGTCCTAGAAATATAGCTTGTATCTGCTGGGATCACCGGGTAATGAATAGTGAGGTTAGACGCAGGGTATTAGGGAATGATGGTAAATCAGTTGATGAGGTTGCAAATCTACATCGACTGAGATGGTTGAGCCACGTGTTACGTATGCCTGAATACCGATTACCACGGCGCGCAATGCTGACTAGTGTAGGGGATGGTTGGAAAAAAGTTAGGGGCGAACAAACCAAAACGTGGTATCAGTGCTTGAAGTCACTAACTTCTAGTCTGAGCCATGTTAGTAGATGCAGACTACTTGGTTGGGGTCCGCGTGGCTATCGTAACCAGAAGTTGAGGACTGGGTGACATGGCTCAGAATCGATCATAATGGCGTAGGTGTAAACACTGTCTTCTTTATACCTTCATTTCTACCAACTAATTCTTTTTTCCAATGTTATATCCTTATGCACAACCTTTCTTTTATATATTACTACAAGTGAATTCGGTGTTCATCATGTTGTGATAATGAAGTGTGGTAAGTTGGACCGATGCATATATGTGCCTGGTCCTACGTTAGAGCTGAATGACTGACTGACTTTCCTCTAACTTAGTCATCAGGAACTAGAATTGTCTCAAGCGTTCGGTAACTAATGCATTAATCAAACCGTAAAAGTAATTTTTTAAAAATACCGGAGACTTACCACATACAAAGCATGGAAGGCACCGAGCAAAGACGCCAAACAGGAAACGGATGGTTCAAGCCAAGAGTGTTCCAACTTTTTAGCCGTTTTCAATGGACCCAACAGAAGGAGAGGTCTTTTAGATCCGATTTTGATAGCCCTAGAAAAAACATACAGCCCATTTGGAATAATGTAGGATTTTAATGAAGTATAAGTGCGCTCCGACCAGCTAATACCTCATAGAAACATGTAAGACGTTCATTGGATTTAGCCATAAATTATATAACATGAAGCGATTTTGATGAATGGTAGAATAAGGTTATACCGTGTTTGCATGTTAGCCTCACATCTGTGAAAGAAGTTTCATGCCATGCTGAAAGATGTGTAGTTTTCGGGTGATAGTATGTTCAAAGTACAAATTACATCAAACTTAGTTAAGCAGAAATAGAGAAATAAACTCCTTATGAGCTTGTGGCTGAACTATGAACGCTTGAGAAATACTACTGATCTTGGTGAAATATAAAGTTCTATGAGGCTCGACGGTTTAACTCCAGAGGTTTTTAAGAATTGTGGAACATTTTTAACAGTCAGGTTGACTGAAATACTATCTAGATGTTTGGAGCTGGGGAAAATCTTACCCGACAGGCCTCGACGGTTGGATGTCTCAGTTCAGAAATAACTAAGGCTTTCTTTTGATAACCAAAAAGAAAATGGTTTGACTAATAAAATATCTAAAGTATTAACCTTAATAATCATTAAATGATCGTCTGGAACTGACAAATAGCAAACTCCGTAAAATCGGGGTGGGTTTTGGTCTCGATAAGCGTATATAGGTCAATCATTTATCATTCATCAGGCTTTAAAACATTGGCATACTTACTGCCAACAGTTGTGGTTCTTGACCTCAAGGCGTACCAAAGAAGTACACAAAAATTGTGAGATCTCTACTTGATCACTATTGGTTGAAGTAATCGTTATGGTTAATTTCCATTGAAACTGCCAACTTCAAGTAGTCTAGAGTTGCTCATTATTCCTTTTGTTTTAATCAACTTTGTCATACTTTTAGTAATATCCCTTCTTTTGTCTGACTTCAGGGATTGATATTCTACGAAACCCACTTATGGACTACAAATATACAGTATATAATCTCAGGTGAAGAAGCTAATAGAATACAGGGATTTATGATCGTTTTCAGTAATGCACTAATGTTAGTACATTTGGGATGCCTTTTTCTACTTCTAAAGAAACATACTGCTCTAAGGCTGATATGTCAATGAGAAACTAATAGAGAGCAAAGTTTTTGAACGCGTTTCCCACCTTTTATTAAGTTTCATCAGAACTGGTGGATTGATGGCTGATCTAATATTAGCACTAATTCAAAAAGCTTATCTGATTTGAGATATCCGTCTGCCAACGAAGGGACGAGTAAACCCCAAGCTGCCAATTTTGGGGAAAATTTGACCCATTTTGGGGAAGCCGCTATAATAATTTTTGGGGAAATGGCACAAAAACCCCAAAATTCCCCAAACTTTGGAGATTTCCCCAAAGTTGGCAGCTCGGGACTATACAGCAATTTGCTGTGTTGCTTTAAAGACGCCAAATACAAATTATAGAACAAATTTGTAAACTTCAAGTTCTTGACCATAGGTGTAGCTATAGCACTGCAAGTGCATGTTAAAACACAAGTGATGGAAAGTTCAAACGTACAGTGCCAAGCAAAAATGGGAAATTGGTTGATAAGATTCTGAATACCTATCAATTGAGAAAATCAGGACGTATTCCAAGCTCCCAATTTTGGGGAAAATTTGACCCATTTTGGGGAAGCCGTTATAGTAAATTTTGAGGAAATGGCACAAAAAACCCAAACGTTGGGGAAGCTTCCCCAAACTTTGGGGAAGGCTATTTCACCTTGGGGATTTCCCAAAAATTCTCCCAAAGTTGGGAGCTTGGGATATTACGTACGCCCAACCAACACCTAACCAACGTGTAATATTGGCTATCAGAAGTAAGGAGAAAGGTAGGTGTGCCAAAGGCCAAACATGGTATCAGTTGGTTGAGTTATCTACTGTTTGTTACTTTTACATAATTATAAACTTGCTCATCGTACTTTGGTTGTTTATTTTGAACCCCACGTTTGCCTCCTTTATTTTAATTTTACACCTAACCACCAGATGTTTGCTGAGTAATGTGAAATCTAGATGAAACCACCTATCAATGATCTACATGTGCTTATCATAGAGACATTGGAGATAGTGAGATCAGCCCGAGCTGCCAATTTTGGGGAAACTTCAGAAGTCAAATGACCTTGCTCATGTTTGGGGAAATCCCCTGAGTCGAATGACCATGATCAAGGTCAAAGAGGGATTTTGGGGAAATATTGGAGAATTTCCTTAAGTCTGGGAAAATTTTGGGGTTTGGGTCTCACTTCCCCAAAATTTACTATAGCGGCTTCCCCAAAATGGGCAGCTTGGGAGACTTCAGCAAACAACCTGACCTGACATATGACTGAATTAAGTGATTGGAGTTGTCTATCCTCATATAAGTCTTTTCATATTGTAACCACCTGCCTTTTATACCTCACATTTACTTACTGAGATATACCTTTCGTTGATGCTTCAGTTATTCGACGAGCATCATCAATGTCTTGATCAAGGTGACCAGTAAACGAAACGACCTAGGAGACTTTATAAATGAACATCAACATACCAAACGTTTAGATGGTAAAGAACGACAAGTCAAGGTGTGGACATCTGAAGAGAATTTCTGGTTCACCTAAAAAAATTATAATCCTGCTTCACACAGACCTGTGATGCTTCTTGTAACGTTTCAAAAAGAGGCGTAAACGAGGATGCATCCGACACGTCTTCAACTACAAGTACAACAGAATCGAAGTCCTGAGAACATAGATCTGACGTAACGACAGGCCGTATTGACTCGCGATGTGTCATAGCAGCGACAACTGACCTTGAAATGTTTGAACAGACAATCCGAGATATACAGAAAAACCGGGAACTAAAAAGTGATTTCGGGTAGACCTTTAAAGTTGATTTGTTATGCTTACCTTGACCTAAACAAACTGTGAAATAGCATTACATGGAAAGTGAATATTAAAAGCACGGAGGTGACCTTGGGAGAGTATTCAATAGTGTTCGTTCAAAAATTACCTTTCCCTCATATATCCAGCCTCTCTACACAACACCCTGAACATGTGAACTTCTCCATTTGTCTTGTTTCCCCAGCGGTATAATTTATTGAACTAACATAGTTCGTAGCAAATGTTTCGGTCCAAACAGTATAGATGTTTCAGTCTCAGTTTCAATCCTCGAAGGAAAGGAGCTGGGTGGCTTGTGTTGATCATGTAGCGGTAAACAAATCCCTAAAATAAATAGATCCGTAAGTCTTCCAGATTGGATGCTGACCACATTAGTTCTAGTGAACTCAGCTAGCTGAAGGCGCTCGGTCATGCATACGCACCAGATCACGAGTGGGAACGCCGTGCTCAACATCCCCTGCAATCGCTAGCCAGCCTAGATCAGTTGATCCTCAAAAGACTGATAACCTATCAAATTTATCTTTGAACCTCCTGGCTTCTGTCTTTTGATTTCTCTTGGTGGGTGCGATTCATTTTAGGTGTTACTGGTTAAAGCGTTGTCGAACTCCAAATACATGTGGCATCTTCAATCATGGCAATCGTGGTCTCTCACTTTAACTGACTTTCTTCTGAAAGCGTTGGCAGACGAAGTAATGAATTCTATTTGTTGATGACTCGATGGGAAAGTCGATGATCAGCTGACAAGTGAGTTGTCCGGGGCTTGTGAACGCCTTAAGTATTCTGATAAGTCCTCTACTTTGCAAGACAAGAGAATTAAAATAGACTTGTAAGCAAAGATGGATAGTGGCTAGCAGTGGAATCCAGGACGCGCGTTTCGCCCTATTTGGGACTCGTCAGCTGGATGTGCCTGCGTCTCAGAGTTGATGTTCACTCTGGGACTCAGTACCGTTCGCTTCAAACGCCATCGCAGGTCAACCGACCTTTGACGATGGCCTGTTCAAACAGCTCTTCTTATCCAAGCTTCCCCACTAAGCTTCCCATTTCAAAATAACGTTGTAGATGAATGCATCTGCCGATTGGATTCTGAAGATCATCAGAACCCCTCATCCCCAGGGATTATTCTGTCAAAGAATAACCTCGGAAAACACAAAATGATGTCATCAACCGCTGTCATGCTCTCACTTGTTATCCTAATATTCATCATAATAGAAGACCTTCCCAAGCCTCTCGAAGAAGTTCGTCACTAAAAAGATCTATCTCCATATCACGAGAAGCAGACAATCCTGATTGGTGTTGGTATCACAATAATCATTGAAAGTCTTCTAGAAACCACTGAAAGTCGTGCGGTTTCCTAATCTTAAAGCTGTACGACACGGTAAACCATTCGAGAAGCTTCACAGCCGGCATGTGTAACGATAGCTGTAGCCGGTGAACACAGCCATCCGTTGTACACCACTGATGTGATGATGAACTTATACTAGCCCGTCGATACCGGCGCCGAAGTTGGTGTTCTTTCTGCGAAATCACAACGATCGAATCCACTAGCCCATATTCAACATGCAGGCGCCAAAAGGGAAACCGATTGCCACATACGGTAGACGATGCGTGCATCATGACGTGGGTTTACGCAAACTCATTCACTGGACCTTCGTTGTCGCAGATGTTTCAACTCCTTTTATTGGTATAGATCCACCACAACAGCATAATCTACTTGTCGACAAGTGAAAACGAAGTTCAGTAGACAGAACAACTAATATATGTCTATTTGCGTAACTTCTTTTTCCGATTGTAGATTATCCCCAGTCACAGTAAAACACACGATCGATCAATACTACCAAGAGATACTTGTTAAGTACTCTGATCTGTACCAAACGCGAGCAAAATAGTCGTATGCGACCAGCAATGTTGCACACCACATCACGACTACAGGACCATCTGAATTCTCGAAAGCACGCCGACTAGCTACCGAAAAACTGAGGTTGGCCAAAGACTACATGGGAGGCTTGATAATTATTCAGCCATCGAACAGCCCATAGGTATCTCCCTTGCACATGGTCACTAAAACCGACATCAACAATGGGCATCCAGCTGGTGACTATCGGTGACTGGATACGAAAACCTATCCTGATCGTTACCGGTCGCCTCACATTCACGATTTGACAGTTACCTTTAAAGGTACAGCCGTTTTTCTGAACGCCGACCTGGTTAAAGCATATAACCAAATTCCCATGGCTGCTGACAACATTCCCAAATCCACTATCATCACTCCCTTTGAACTCTACGAATTTTTCCGCATGCCACTTGGTTTGAAATATCTCACTCAAGCTTTCCAGAGATTATTCGATGACGTTTATAGAGGTCTCAACTTCCTGCATATGTGTGGTGATGACTGCTTGATTGCAAGTCCGGGCAGACATACTCATTCCATCATCTAGAAGTTGTCTTCAAGCGACTACAAAAGACACGGAATTACTGTAAACATCCAAGAATGTCAAATCGGCACCGACTCACTAGATTTTCTCGGACATACTGTTGATGCTCAAGGCAATCGATCGTTGAAAAGCGAAGTGGCAACCATTCTGGATTGCTTAGAACCGACAACAATCAACAGACAACGTAGGCTCAACGGTCTAGTAAGTTTCTATAGACAGTTCATGCTGAATTGCGCGTCTATTATGAGAACCTTAACCGATCATCTTTGTGGAAATGCGAAACCCATCAATTTAAGCGATGACACGAAGAAAACACTCTCCACAGTTAAGGAACTTGTCGTCAAAGCAACCATGTTCGCGCACCAGGACATATAAGCATCCATTAGTATAGCAGTAGATATATCCGACTCGGTAATCGTAAGAGTCCTACAACAGTGAGTTAACCACACCTGGCAAGTTTTGGCATTCTACTCGAGATGGTTGCTAGATACCTGAATGAAGTATTGCACTTTAGGTAGGAGACCCCTAGCTATTTATTGTGCTGTACGGCATCTTTAACACTCTGTTGAAGGCCGACAATTTTAGCGATTGCAAACCTTGTATGTTCTGTTTAAACTCATCTTCAGATAAGCACCCCCCTCAGGAGTCTCGAAGACTGGACTACATTTTGCAGTTCACATCAAATATACATTTCTGGGGAAAACAATGTAGTTGCAGACTTTTTGTCTCGTATAACTTCCTTGGACAGTTTCCAAGGAATCGACCATCCCGAACACGCACAGCTTCGAAAAGAAGACACTGATATTCAGTACGAGTTATCTTCCACAACGCTGGAGCTGTATATAAAAGAGATGGGAACAGGTAAGGAAACTTTGCCATGCGACACATCTAAAGGTGGGGATCGTCCAATCGCTCCAAAACATTATCCACGCAACGTCTTCAAAACGCCGTACAAACTTTCTTATCCAGGTGTTCGTTCGACCATTTGTGAATGACATTTGAGCGACCTTCAGAGTGTTTACCTAATAAACAGGATCAAATGAGGCTTGTAAATCTGTGTGAGGAATTCAACCCATGATCTACAGTTGATGATTAAGGTCAGTAATTAGATTAAGGCTTTACATCACGAACTGTTATCATCTATAATGACAAAACTCTATTTAACCAAATACACAAGGAAATTTTTCGCCAAACTCTGCGACCTGTTATCTTATATCTGATTACCTCGTCCAGAAATTATAGTCCCGCCTTAGTACCTTTACCAGATCCAAATGGATACCCTTATTTCTCAACTTGTGTAGGCCGTTTCACTCGATGACCGGAGGCAGTGTCCATCAAGGACATTACTGCCAAAAAAGTAGCCCACACCTTCGTCGAATGATGGGCACCAAACTTTCGCTGCTCTTCAACTATCACTACAAACCGTGGGCGTCAGTTCGAATCTGGACTTTTCCGTTGTCTTACTACACTACTAGGAACCGTCGTAACCTCTCGAAACGACTCACAAAGAACCCTTCGAAGCCTTCAATGTAAACATAAATACTATGCCATCGATGAAAACGATAACATCAGTATTGACTGCGCACCCTAGTAATATTGATTTTCTCTCGGTACACCCCAGTGACACGAGCGCCATAATTACGATGATCAACAAACATGACAAAACTTTGCTGGTTTCTTGAAATCGGTCTGAATCAACGTCAAGTGTGCGGTCAGAGTGATTGTACGCAACTGGTTTCCAGAGAGATATCACTCTGTTATATCTTTATCTGCAAACTCCATGATACTTTCAGGTTCATGGTTTGCTCCATTCCTAAGGGCCCATTTATGTGTAAATTGTTGTAACTGGTTAAACGTAATGTTAATTTCGGCAAGAGAGTTTTGCAGTCGTCGGGTGTTTGTACTATGGCGATCAGTATTTTGCTGTGCATGAGATATATTGAACTGTCCGATTTTTTTATTTTGGAGTTAGGCCTTAGCGAATCATACTGATGCGTACACTTAGCTGACTTTCCAGTATACGTAGGTATTGTATTTTTTATATCAACCAGTCGTATCACTGGCATATTGCACGAAGTGATGAAGGGGTTGCGATGTGAAGAATCAGGCGGTGATAGTGATATGTGTGGATGAGATGCGTAGAGTGCAATGAGTAGAGAACCCGTATAATTAAATAGAGTATATAGTTACTGTTAAGTATTAGATGGCTTAATACTGTCCGTGACTGTGGCTATAAAAAATACTTTGGAGACAAGGTGGTCAGTTACTAAGTGAGACAGTAACTATCAATTGAACGTTAATTAGTATGATCAAGAGATATAAACATGTAAATGTCAGTCACTGGGGACTTGCATAAAACATGAAGGGGAGGTTCGTGGTAAGTATGTATCAACTGTAAAGTATCGTTGAAATTTATTCTTACGGATTAAAAAGATATCCAAAACGCAAGACAGCATGATAATTCCAGTATTATACACCCCACAAATGAACAAATAAATCCCGACAGACTTGAAGAAAGGATACTTCATCAAAATACCACAGAAAGGAAACCTGGTCAAGTGTGCGAAGTACGGAGGAATCACACTACCATCGGTACCAGAAAATGTTTTCATCAGAGCGTCCCTGAACCATATGAAAGGTTCAATAGAGCTGTAGTGGCATTGGACAATAACCACACAATCCA